CGCGGTCAGGCGGCTGGTCAAGATCCTGCTGCTGGGCGCCGGCGAGAGCGGCAAGTCCACCTTCCTCAAGCAGATGCGCATCATCCACGGCCGTGAGTTCGACCAGAAGGCGCTGCTGGAGTTCCGCGACACCATCTTCGACAACATCCTCAAGGTGACGAGCGGCACCGCCCACACACACCTGGCCCCAGTGGGGCGCGGGACCCGCCCCCTTTGTCCTCCGCCGACCGGCGACCCTGCTGCCGGGCGCCCCTCCCTTCCAAAGGGGACCTCAAGCCGCGCCAGCCGGGGTTACTCCGGTGACCCCCAGGGGCCTGATGGCTTTCCCGAGCCTTGGATGCTTGGGGACCGTGGGAGTGGAAGCCGAACCACCACCCTCGGGGACTTGGGTTCTGCAGGGCTGTTAGGGCTGGACACGTGGAGTGAGGGTCGCCCACTCTCCCTGTCCCTCCAGCAAGCGAAGTTTTCAGTGTAGGAGGTTGGAGGACATCCGTCCCGTTTTCAGTTGCGAATGAGAACTGACCATTCTAGTCGTTAGTTTTTGAACACGCTGTCTCATATATTCCAGGCTGGCCTTGAACTCACTAAGTAGCTGAGGATGACCTTGAATTTTTGAGCCCCCCCCTTCCCAAATACTGGAATTACTGGGGATGTGGGGCGCTGTGTCACCACGCGTGGTCCATGGAGGGCTAGGGAATTGAACCCAGTGCTAGGTGGCACTTTACTAACTAAAACTATGTTGCCAGTCCCCAGTCTTAAGTTTTGAATGTTGTTTTGTTTTGGATTTTTGAGACAGGGTTTCATGAAGCCCAGGCTGGCCTTGCTGTGTAGCCGAGGATGACCTTGAGCTCCTTATCCTTCTGTCCCTGTCCTCCCAGTGGTAGGATTACGGACATGTGCCACCCACACATTTTTCTTTAAACTTTTTAGTATGGAGAATTAACACACACACACACACACACACACACACACACACACCAAGTTAGAGGAGATGTTAGAAGGACCTGTGAGACACCCACAGCTCAGCTTTAAAACAAGGGTCAATTCTGTGCCAATCTCCTTTCACCTCTGACTCCTTGGTCTCCAAGCAAATTCTAGACGTATAGTTGCATTAGAAAACATTTTTGAAGCCAGGCGGTGGTGGCGCACGCCTTTAATCCCAGCACTGAAGGCAGAGGCAGGTGGATCTCTGTGAATTCAAGGCCAGCCTGGGCTACAGAGTGAGTTCCAGGAAAGGCGCAAAGCTACACAGAGAAACCCTGTCTCGAAAAATAAATAAATAAATTTTGGTATGTGTCACTAAACAATAAGATGACCGTACTTTAAAATCATACTCACAGGACCATTATGGAACTAAAAAATGGGGCTAAGATGTGGGTCAGCAGTAAAGCACTTGTCTAGCATGTGCGAGCCCATGGGTTCCAACCCCAGCAGAGCAAAACCTAAAAACAAAGTCTCCTTAAAACCTGCTCACTGTGATTCAGTGTCCACATTTCCTCTTGTTCCACAGTTGTTCTGTGAATTTGAACCAGATGCAATAATCCTCATGTGGTTTTGAACTCAGAGTCCTATCCCTTGTGCCCTTTATATTCTGTGCCATATATGTGAAAGAAACAGTCGTGTTGGCAGAGTCTAGGGCCAGTGTCAGTACTGTGAGCCTGTGCAAAGGATCTGAAGGAAAGATCTGGAGTGCTGGGCCTGTAGCCAGGTTCTACAGTAGAGTGCCTGCCTAGCATGCACCAGGCCCTCGGTTGACTGCCAGATAAACAGGCCATGGTGGCGTACTTCTGTAATTCCCACACTGTGGAGGTGAAGTTCTGAGGCTAGCCTGGGCTATGTGAGACCCTGTTTCGAAAAAGAAAGACGTAGAAAAGTCTAAAGGAGGGCATAGAGCATCTGTCCTGCACCTAGATTGGTTTCCTCTTGAAGTTTCTCATCTCCCTTTTTCTAGCCCTCTTGATCCTTCCCAAGCCCCCCTTTTTTTTGGGGGGGGGGGGTGTACAAATTATAGGTCTGAGGAAAGCTGCCCCAAGCAGGTAGAGAGGTTTGTCCTACCCTAAAACCTATCTAGGAGACTAGAATTTATGGGGCCTGATGGGTTTTTAATTTAGCAAGGGGACACAGAAGCCCATCTGGGATGTGTCTTTGGCTTCGGCCTTGAGGAACCTTGGTGTAGGACGGTTGGGCTGGGATCCTGGGAGCCAGACTTCCGGGCCAACACTCCCACATTCAACATGTTTGTTACTAAATGTTTTATTTGAATACAAGTAGCTCCTTGGGGCTCAAGATGGGAAGAAAATCATTTGAAGAATAAATCACACCCTTTCACCTTTCAGAGCCTCAGGGCAGCTCAGGGTTCTGGCTAAGCGCTCCATAAACATTTAGATGGCACCTTAAAGGGACGGGTCTAGTTCTTCAAAATTCCCCACATTGTCAGAGGGGTAGAACGCACTTGACTGTCACTGAGGGCCTGTTTTTATTTTTGCTGCTTTTCTGGACCCCAGAACCAGGTAGGCTTGGAGGGCTCAGTTTCTTTCAACTTGGGTGGCAGAAAAAAATATTTAGAAACATAGATCTCAAGTCTACTTGGGTCTGTTAAGTACATTTAAAAGAAATCAGTATCTCCTTCCTTTGTTCTTAGTGTTAACTTTTCCTGGCCTCCTTATCAACAGAAGTGAGATTTGTTAACGAGGATTCTGCTTGTTTTGTTTTGTAGAATGTCTTTTTAAAAGATGGATTTTTTTAAATTAGTAATTTAAAATGTATAGGCCTTCACAATTTCATGTGTGTATAAAATATCTTTTGGCCGTTTTTTTAGACCCCCATCTATCTCTCTTTCATCCCCTCCTAGCCCTGCTGAGCCCTTCTTCCCAGCAGGCCCTCTTCATGGCATTTTTTTCTGCCCAACCTTTTTACTCATCGTTCTATATTGAAAGTGTTTTATCTGCTGTAACTAGTTAGAAATTCATTTTTCAACTTTAAATCCTTCCCACTCCCTGGCCACCTCTACTGATCTTGGCCTTGATCAGTCACTTCTCCCAATTCTATCATTTTGTCATTTCAAGACTTGCATAGGAGCTGAGGTGATGATTCAGTGGGTAAGAGCATTTGTTCTGTAAGCAGGGTCCTGGGTTCAAATCCCCAACACCTATGTAAAAAGCTGGGCAAGGCCTGTAAACCCCAGCATTGGGGGTTGGGGCACCAGAGACAGATGTGTCTCCAGAGCCTGCTTGGCAGCCAGCCTGGCAGAATTGCACTTCTAGGTCAGTGAGAGACCCTTTCTCAAAACCTTAAGACAGTAGTGATAGAGGAAGACACCTGATGTCCTGTTGTGGTCTCTGTGCACACCCACACACTCATGTGCATGCACTGTGCACCCCCACACAGAATATTCTATAAATGGATTCCATGCAGAGTGGTTTTTGGAACTGACTTTTGTGAGAACATTTCTCCCCCTGTGAGCAACTGTACATGGCGCTAATTCCCCCCTTACTGCTGAATAGTGTGCCACCTCTCTGGTCACCTGGTGAGGGGTGTCTGGGTTCTTCCCACCTTCCACTCACTATGACTAGATCTTATTTGAACATTCATGTACATTCTTTTAGATTGGTTGGCTGGTTGGTTAGTTGTAACACAGTCTCATGTAGCCTAGGGTGGCCTCAAATTTAACCATGTTACTGAGGAGGCTAGTATTGAACTCCTGATCTTCCTGCTTCTATCTTCCAAGTTCTAGGATGACAGGAGTGGACCGCTATACTTGGTTGTGTGTCCATGTCTATGTTTTCATGTGTCTGGGATGAATGTTAACAGTGTAGCACTGTAGTGATGTGTTCATCTTTATAAGAAGCTGTCAGACTCTTTTGTACACATCAGTTTCTCTACATCCCTGCTGGCATTAGGTGATGTCACTGGCTTTCTTCAGCTGTTCTTAGAGGTGTGTGTGGTGTCTTCTTGCAGTTTTAATTTGCATTTCCCTACTGCTAATGATGTTGAAAATCTTATCATTTGCCTCTCACCCTCTTTGGGGAAAAGTTTCTTATTTTTGTCCCTCTTCTAATTAGGTTCTTTCTGCTTTATTGTTGAGTTTAAGGAGCTCTTTATATATGTTGGATACTAGTCCTTTATTCCACTTAAGGATTGTACATATGGACTGTCCTTCCATTCTCTACACTGGATCTTTTGCAAAGTAAACATTTTTAATTTCAGTAAAGTCCAGTTTATCCATTTATCTTTTTATGGATCATGGTTTTGCTATCATGTCCTAAGAACTTTTTGCTTGGCTTAGATCCCAAAGATTTTTCTCTAGGAGTGTTATAGTTTTATATCTTACATTTAAGTATGTAGTTTAGATTGAAGTTCATTTTTTTTTCTGCCTGTGAAATATCCAGTTTCAGAATTATTTGTTATTTTCTCATTGAACTGCTTTATGCCTTTATAAAAATGACCATCAGTTGGTCGGTTTGTGTATATTTGCTCCAGCAGTCTGTATGTCTGTCCTTATGCTAGCATCACATAGTGTTGATTACTGTAACTCTATTTGTGACTTTCAGTGTTTCTCCCACATTATCTTTTTCCAGAGTTTAGTTATTCCAGGGCCTGTGTCTTTTTTTCTTTATAACTTTAAAAAAATATGTGTGTTCTCATGTATGATTGTGGGTACAGTGCCCTTGGAAGCCAGATGAGGGAGTTGGGCCCCTCATCCCCCA